TCCTCTATCAGATGTTGATTCCAATCATATTTCGTATCCTGTTGCAGGGCCTTGTCTGCCAGCGTATAGCGATTTCCCCAGCGGAAGAGATCGCGCAGCGTAAACACCTGCTTGGAGGTATTCTTGCGATGCTGCTGCAGCTGCGTCATGCACTGGACCATCTTTCGAGCATACGAAGCGGGTATAAGGCAGCGTTGCTCCAATATAATTTCCAGCTCCGAGCGGGGTATGTCCGCAAAGTGCAGTTCAATGAAGCGATTCTTGAAGGCACGGGACAAGGTCTTACGACCACCATATAGGCCCGGCGGATTCTGTGTGGCAAAGAGCATAAAATTGGGATGCGCCTTGACCAGCGTCTGTGTCTCTGCAATGTACAGCTCACGGTTGTCATCGAGCACCCGATTCAATGCCTCCAAAATGTCCGTTGAGGCCAAGTTCAGTTCATCCAAGATAATCCAATAGCCATGTCGCATGGCTTGCACCAGAACTCCTTCCCGGAAGCTTAGCTTGCCGTTAACATCGGCTGCATACGTGCCAATGTATTCCTGCAGGTCCGTGTGCTCGTGATTGTTGATGCGTAGGCAACGATTGCCACTCCTCCGGGCTACATAGTCTATGAGACTAGTCTTACCCGCGCTGGTGGGTCCTTGCAGCAGAATGGGCAGCTTACCAATGGATATGATACGCGCCAGATCCTGCAGATTCTTCTTGACGCTAGAAGTTAATATATAGTGCTCGCAAGACTGTGGCTCCAGACTACCACGCTGTATCCAATAGCCTTCAAATTGCAGATAATTCTCACCCAGTTGTGGCAGCGATTGATTGAGCACAGCCTTCGGATTCTGCAGCAGTGCATTACGTATGAGCAGCAACACCATTTGATGTGACTCCGGATCCAGTTGTGTCAGAAAACTCAAGCAGAAGCTCTCATATAGATTACGCTCAATCGAGCCACACAGATTCCGTGCGCATATGCGCAAGCTACGGCAAAGCGTGCGTAGCGAGTAGACGGGACGATTGCCAAGTCCATCATTGAGCTGCAGCTCAGAGAGGCGTCTCAGCGATTTGTATAGCTGCACAATGTTATGCACCGATTTGCGTTGAATGCCCGTGTTGGCCAGATAGTCCCCGACGAGCAGACCCAAATCTGCATCTGTGGTCAGCTCATCGACGAAGAATTCGGTGAAGCGATTGCGTATGCCCACAGGCAAATCCTTTTTACCAATATCCGTATTGGGATTCATGCAGGCAAATATACGAAAGTCCGGATGTCGTTTAACAGGCATAAAATCCCCACGCTCCAGCAGCACAACCGAACCCTCCGGCTCCAGGATGGTGGACAGGCATTCGAGTGTCTCCGCCGATGCCAAATTGATTTCATCCAACAGCACCCAATCACCATTGCTGATGCTATTGACCAAGGAGCCAGGTATAAAGGCAAACGATATATTTATGCTCTTGTCCAGCTGCAGTTGCAAGCGCTGCAGCTTCTCGTGCAACGTCTGCCAACGTGGCAGGAAAGGATTCGACTTATGCTGCGGCTTACTGAACATGTTGTTCGTCACACTCAACATTGTTCGTATGATCACACTGTAACGTCCGTTGTTAAAGTGTGTGGCGAAGATGCGCATAAACTGCTGATTCTTATCTGCATTGAAGGTCTCTCCAAACAGATATTCAAACTCGTAGCGCAGCGGGGCGAGCACATAGTTCAGCTCGACGGGTTTGAAGCCACCCACTAGATCCGATACATCCGACTGGTTATTCATATTTATAGCCACGAGCTTATGGTCGGTGCGCTCTGCCAGATACTGCACAGAGGATGTCTTGCCCACACCGGTCTCGCCCACCAGGAGCACGGGCTCTGACTGATTCACACAGACTGCAATGCGTTCCAATATACAACTGGCCAAACGTGTAAACGAAAATGTTGCACGTTTTGCAGCTGACTTGAATATTGTCTTCTTGCTTTCCATTGTTAGCTTTTGTCTTTTAGTTCCATTTTGTGTATCACTTCGCTCCTCTTCCACGTTCATTGTTGGCAATATAGCGCGGCCAATTTTAAAAGTCTGCTTGCCGAATTCCACGTCGGGTTTGTATTCATTAGCAAAATGTTCGCATCTCGATCTAATGATGCCCAACTTAGCACCAACGCTTGTTATAAGAGCTGTCTTCTCTTTGCTCTCCGGCAGATAAGCGCAAAAGACATCGATAGCATTGCGGAAGACAAAGTAAGCGCATTCAGAGCTTGTCACCGAAAACTGAGCATTAGAGCGCTGACAGAGCTTGATGAGATCCCGCGTGGATACCAAGCGTCCGGAGTTGGGCATGTTCGAGAGTTGGACATGCTCAAATGGCAACGCCAGATACTTTTCTGTGGTATCTGCCTTATCTGTGGTCTCTTGCTGGCGCAAATTATCAGCGGCTGTATGATCTCCACTGGAGAAGGTCAAGAAGACATCCACAATGCGATTCGCTACCGTTGCCAGTTTAGGATAATTAGTGCTTACCACTTTGCATAGCTCGTTGCGAGAGAGTGGTAAAATATTTATGGTGTATAGATATTTCTCTAGCAGAGATAATAGAGATTTTTGACTGGAATTGTTGGATGATTTGTTGGTGCTGCGATAAAAATAGAAAATTTATATATATTTACGATATGAACCTTAACCTCGCTTACCGCACTGTTACAAACAATTGAAATCCTGGCTCAACCTTGACGCAATCTCTAAAGCCAGGTACACTCAGGTAATTGCGCTCTAAGAGGCTGCTCAATATCGTATATGTGTCCTGTGTAGCTGCATCTAAATCCTCCAAGAGCAGCCAGTAACCATGCATGACAGCCTGTTTAAAATTTGGATTTATTAATATACACCTATATATTCAAACAATCTGATTTCTTACCTGTGTCAATACACCCGGCAGCCAAACAAATTCACCTGGCACATCTGTACAACGATATTGGCCCAGCAGCATTTTACTATCCGTCTGGTCACCAAGCTGTATGCGTAAGAAACCATTTCGCTGAGCCAATCCATCGCCATCCTCAAGCACCATTAAATCTTCCACATCTTCTTCGACTTTTCTCTTTCCAGCCGCACTCTTTGTTGTCTTTTGTTTTCTTTTGGGTATCAGTAGCTCCTCCTCTTCTTGAGCTCGTTTGCTGATTTCAATTTCTTTTGGTTTAGGGCAAATGCGTCCCGTTTTACGTGCGAGATATTCAATTAGGGTGGTCTTACCACAGCCAACTGGACCGGAGAGACAAATGGGCTTTGCCGCAGCTACGCCTAGAGCAATGCTACGTAAATTTACACTTGTTGAATCCACTTTAACGATGCGATCATAGCATCCATCTGAATCAGCATAGAACTTTTGATTTTCCTCATTGTAAATGGGCAGCAGGACGCCTTCCATGTCGATTACGGATTGATTAGCTTTGTTGAGTTTTAGCTTGAGCGTTTGCTCGGGCAGATCGGGCAAATAGCTGGAGCTCATCAATGTGGGCAACTGTTGCTGTTGCTCGAATATTAGCTGCACCTCATTAGGTACCGCTGAGCGTATGTTTAGCTCATGCAGCTGTGTGCTGGTCATGTCGGTTAACAAGGCCAGAATGTGATTCAAGTATAGCTGCGTCAGCTGACATGCCTTTTGTTTTTCTGTATAGCTGGCCAGGAATTGCGACCAATCCCAGAGCTCTCTATAGTACACTACGTCACTTTTCAGTAGCTGATAGCAACATTTGATGAAATCCAAATCGGATGTTAGATCTGTCGTTTCCATAGTGCCATTTGTGTGCGTTCTTTTAGACTTCTTGCTGGGCACCTTAGTGGGTATCTGCACTATCGCCTCCTCGAAAGGTGCTGCCCGATTGCGAAAGTAGCTCTTGGCGAATCTGTAATATATATGTATTCGTATAAATAATACGAATAGTATATGCCACTCACCTCCTGGCAGCCACTGATAGCTGCAACAACTTAGCCAAGGCAATACATTCCAATTTATATTTCTCTGTTCGATCTGATGGATTCGAACGCAGCGACATGGTTAACAGTAACAGCAGGTGCTCCTCGAAACTCAAAGCCAGAGGCACTGTATAACCTGGCGATGTTAACTGTTCGCTAAGATTGTTAAACAGACGCTCCACATCCTGCTCAGCATACAGCTTGAACATAAAACATAAGAAAACACGTTATAACACATTTTGGATCAAGTAAAATTTTCGCTTACCTGTTTCTTTAGAAACTTCTTTAAATTTAATGCAAACCCATCATTCTGCTGCTTTTCCGCAATAAGCTGCAACAGCATTTGAACGCTGCGTCGCAGCTTGTTGATATTTATTTCCATGTTTCACTACTCGATTGCATTAAAACTAAATTTTAAGCGCACTAATTCGAAGCGAACTGTGCGAATTTTTAAAACACGTGCAGTGCAATCGGTGCCCGGTTGAAGTGTGACCGTATTTGTCAAAAAACCCAAATACCACAATTCATCTGCATGCGCAGCGGTTTGTTTACATTTTCGTGGTGAATGGACAGCATAGAAGCAGAACGCTGAAAGTAACTGTTTTAGCGCATCGTTCAAAAAAGCTTGGGCGAAATTTGATTTAATTTATAAATTTCACGGTCGGTTTTGAAATGTTTTCAAATTATAAAGTGTTACAGATCAATGCGCGGGCGACTCCGCCACAGGATAAAGGATCGTTTCCCACTGTTAAAGTTCCATCGCATGTGGGCGAATACAGTTTGTCACAAGAGGGACATTTTGAGAATACTTCTGCGCGAATTTGTTTTTTAAGTCAACCAGCGCTCAACCAACTTCCATTTTCACTAGCCCGTTGTAACGAAGACAGGGAAGAACTTTCCATACCCAAGCCCCGGTATTTGGATAATTTATTCTACTTTTTGCGAAGCTCGTTCGAAAACTTTGCGAAACGCAACGATGAGGGACTTTTGCACATAGATGCGGATATTGTTTGCAGCCGTGAGACTTTACAGTTAATCATGTGCGCACCGTATGAGTACAAAAATAACTGGACTCTAGCCGTAAGCAAATATCGCAATACGATATACATGTGTCCGGTGCAAAATACTGAACAACCTTTATCGGTAGATGTTGCACAGCAAAAAGATTTATTAATGACAAAATGGATGAGAGCATTGAAAAAACGTTGTCTGACCGCCGGAGGTAACTACCAAGATATTAATTATAACTATACACATATACATAACTATTCACATATCTTACTTTAGTTGGCCCCATTGGAAGTTCGGATAGACCTCGAGAAATAAAATTAAAAGGCCAATATTATTGTATCTTCAGCACAGACATTTGTGGCATACATGTGCTCTTCGATGCGCCCATTATAGCAGAGCACTCGATCAATACAATGTAACTATAAATTACATATTCGACCCATTGGTATAGTAATTAACTTTTTAACTGTTAAATATTCAGCTGCGGTTTGCCCAAAACCTTTGTGGATCTGAAATTGCGTTTGGATAAAATGAAACCCTGGGAATGGTCTGATCATAATCGCAATGAGGTGCTCAAATGGTGGGCCGAATCTTTTCTAGCTGGCATTGAAAAGATTTATATAGCTTATCATGATAAACAGGGAAACGTACACAAGATTATACACAGGAAGCTGCGTGAGCTTTGGCGGGAGTGTGTGAGTAGAAGACCGAAGCCTCTTAAGACTAACAGCATTATGCATAAATTAATATAAATCTTAATTTTAACAGGAGCACGACTGGTCGCCCAATATATGTGGACATTTTCTACGGCGTTGCTTGGACAACATTAAAACGATTTTGGCTGATGTGGATAACGCCAGCACAGTTTATCTCTTAGAATACGATGCTGAGAATGGAAATATTAAATATAAATATGCGGAGGAACGAAGCGAACATACGTTTATACCCGATTGGTTCCGCTTGATGATGGAGGAGAGTTTGGAGCATCTAAATGCAGCGACTCAATTTTCAGTATAAATCGTCTCTACTATATATGGCTGACAATCGATTTTAAGCTTAAGTACATATACATATATGGAAATGTGTATAATATATTAATTATAAGATGAAAGTAGATTTTACGTTTATTGACAGCATTAATTGAATTTCAAGAATCACACTATTAAATAATTTAATACACGTTATTTGTTTTGCTGCTTTTGCGATTGGCGGTTGGCTGAGAATGCATTCGATTTTACAAAAATATGGAAATGCTAATTAGTTACAGCTAATTTAGAAGAAGAGAGCAAGAGACAGAGGGGCCTCTACAGCTCAGTCTTCTTGGGCTTGCCACTGCGATCGAAGCTCTTCAGTTCTGTGGTGGCCTCCTTGGCAATGTATTTGATGAAGTCGTCCAGTTCGCGACCTCCATTGTAGCTGACGGGCTTGTTCTTCGAGTCCTTGGGCAGCCAGAAGAGTGTGGGGAAGCCGCGCACATTGAACTCTGGAGGCACATCGTTGGCCGTGGCATCCATTTTGACAATGGCTACGTCTTCATTTTGCAGTTTCTCGGCCAGCTCCTCGTAGATGGGAGTCAGTTTCTTGCAGTGTCCGCACCAGGGGGCATAGAACTCGACCAGCGTATCCTTGCCATTGTTGATGACTACTTCATCGAAGTTCTTGGCGACGGCCACCTTAACAGGTGCATCATTCGACTCGGGCACTGGCTCGCTCTTGATGTAGGGTTCCAGTTCGTTGGCCAGCAACTTTTCCACAAAGTCTTGCAGATTTTCCACGGAGAATTCCTCCTTCAGGGCATATTTGAGATTCTTGGCATCGCGTGCCAAAATGACGGGCTTGTCACCAACGAAATCGTAGCCATATTCATTCAACTCGTGCTGGAAATCATCCTTCGAGCTGATGGCAAAGTTAATCTGGCCAACAAACTCCTTGGCCACCTTCAAAACACGGTTTCGCCAGTAGTTCGTGCCCTTGGGGTTCTTCTGGTAATCAACGGCATAATAAGCAGTGATCAAAGGATTCTGGAAGTCGCGAGCAGTGTCCTGTGTGCGGTGGCCCACCAAACCATGACTGCAAAAGGGAATCGTTAGCTGCTGAAAATCATGTGAAATTAGCAAAGTTTAACTTACTAGTTCTCCTTGACGAAAGTGATCAAATCAGACTCGGAGCTACCCTCAAACTTAATTGTGGACGACTCAAATTTGTTGGCCAAGTGTGGTGCGCGTATCAGCACAATCTTATCTCTATGAAAAATATGAAAGATAAAACAAATTGTAAAGCATTAATAATTCCAATTAACTGACATTAACTACCTTAACAAAGATTATAAGCTATTTACAGAGTTATAAACTAGTTGGCGATTTGCAATCGGACATGAATTGCATTATACAAAAAAATTACAAACTATTTATTAAAGTTAAAAAATATATGTATATGAGTTATTGATCTAACGGATCTTGAGTCTTGATTAGTTTCAGTCCTGCCTCACTTACGTTTCGCCTTGCTGCTTAAGCACTTCCTCGTCTTCGCTGTGTCCAAAACGGTATTTCTCACGATTCTTGTCAGCAAACTTCAGGAAAGTCTTTGCCAATTTGGAGTCAATGTCTTTGAAATAGCCAAAGATAGTTGTATCCTTGGTGTCCAGGAATTTAGCTAGCTCCTCGATGCTGCGCACCTGCTTAGATGCAGGTCCCACCTGAGCACGCATATACTTGGCAATGCCATTAGCCTCGCGTGGTCCATTGTAGTCCTGCGACACCTCGTCCTGGCGGAAGATCTTCAGCGTTGGATAACCACTCACTGAGTACTTGCTGCACGTCTCCTTGCCGGCTTCTGTGCAGTCGACCTTTAAGATAAAAAAGACAATAAAGTTGAAATGGATATTGGTTGCTTTTGGTAAGCATTAGGTTTACCTTGGCCAATTTGATTGGTGGATCGTCATCTTTAATAATCTCAGCTGCTTTGGCATATTCAGGCTTCAAGCGCTTGCAGTGGCCGCACCTAAAATCAGAAGAAAACGTTATTAAAGACACGTCAGTTATTCAGAAAACATATCGTAGTTTCGGTTATCAAAAAACAAGTTGAGTACAAGGAAATAGGAGATGCTATCTTCTTTGTACCGAAATTGAACTATACTAGCAAACCCATTCATTATATGTTTATCAGACTGTATTTGGCTTGTACTTATCAATAAGAACAATTAAGAGAAACATTAGGAACTATCCATCTTTTCTGAATTGCCCTTGATTGCAGAAATAGAATTTATTGATCTAGTTAACACGTACTTAGTATTTAGCAGTGTATACCCAATGAAGCCCATTACCAACAGGGTATAATATAAAATTCATTTCAGAGCTTATCTGAGCGTAGTTCATGTGCGCGCTCTCTTATCATACAAGCAAGACTCAATTAAATAGCTTGTTCTCTGCGTATGCTGGAGCTGATAAGTCAATTTTGTTCAAGATGTGGCATTTGAAATCAAGCACAGCGAACCGGCCGGCGTTTCAAGCTGCGCAACTTAATTTCTTCTTTGTCTACACAAACAAACAAAAACACAGATACACATGCACAGAAAGCTATTTGTTCATGCATTAGCTTAGACAAGTTTACAGCTTACTTTATCAGCCCGCATACACGCACACATATGCATGAAGAACATCTATTCGCGCATACATATGCATGTATGTACATATGTATACAAGCTAAAATGGCCGACGCTGACTTGTCAATTCCTGGCTATATGTATGTGCCCTTTCTTTTACACGGCAGCCGCTGACGTGTACTTTTAATTCGATTAATCATAGCCACACAATTCACTTAATATTAACAATTGACGTTGCAATTGTGAACGCTGCCACACCCACCGCCCCAACTTACCAGGGTGCGTAGAACATAACCAATGTGGTCTCATGCTGCTTCAAAGTGGAGGCGAAATTGTCATCGCCAAGTTCCAGCACATCTTGCTCGGCACCAGCAACTATTGCAATAAAGCTGCATGCGAGAACAGCTAATAAGCGCCACATTTCGTTCTTTGTTACTTATTAATAAAAAAATCTGTAAATATATATTTCAAGAAATACTGTATGTCAACCGGCTGCTACGATAATTTACGTCTAGACCGGTCAAATGCTTTACGAGAATTGGATACGTTTTGACGGTCTAAGCCACGTCATTGACATTTTATAACACTGTTGGGGGAGTGACCGACCGACTAACATACTTTACTCCACATTTAACATTCTGGGTATCTGTTAACTAACAGATCAGCGCATATCAGCGCAATTTATTCAATGAATATTCGATACTGGCAGTGCGACTCTGTAACGCCACGCTTGCAGAAACGAGGCTACAAGTTTCCTGTTACGCCGAACACTCGTTCACTTTGTTCAAGTCTGTCGCCGGAATAGCATAGACTTTGTGATTTCTCATTCAATTTGTTCGAGAGTAAGTTCTGTTGCCAAGTGAAAAAAGAAATTTGAGTGCATACCTGTTTAAATCGGAAATATATGTGTGCAATAAACCAACTGAGTGCATTAACAATCAATTTATAAACAAATATGCAATTGGACTTTAACAAATCTGTATATTTGATAACATGTGGATGCGTGTGTGGGCACTCGACAGTTAACCTCTAAGCCGAATCAAAGTGAAAGGTGGTGACGATGACTGAAGCGCAAACACGTGGCAAGCAGCTAGCGATGGAAATTTCACCATAACTAAAATTTGTTTATGAAATTTATTTGCTCAAATGAGTCACTTAGTATTTCTGCAATATGGTGTAATTGGTGTCGGTGATGCCACGCCCACATGTGCGTGGCACATGTGAATGGTTTGATTCATAAATCCGATCATAAAACAACTTGTATGAATGCAACATCTAAAATTGCCAATCGGCATCTCCAACTATTTGCAATCTAAAAAAAAGTTGCTAAAAATTTAATCAGCGTGCGAAGCGTGTCTTTTTTGCATGCGCAAAATTTTCCACCTTTCTCTATACGTATGAACGCATAGAATTTCAAGATGGCGGCTCATAAGCCGATGGTGTGACTGACTAATCAGAAAATGCTTGCTGCAATAAAATACAAAAGTCAAGCGATACTATCACAAGCGAACAGCCTCTGTATGCGAATTAAATATATTCTATATTGTAGAATTGACAAAAATTCAACACATTGAAAAAATTGTTATCTTCACATGAACTTTTAGTCCAAGATGGCCGGAGACGGCATGCAGTACATGCATTTTTCGATCGTTCCCAATTGCTTTGCCAACCACTGCCAGATCGTCTACTTTGTCCGAATCATTGCTCGGTCGCCATTTTATTTTACTTTCTCACTTGCTCTCTTGTGCCGATGAAGCGGCCGGCAACAGCGTCACGCACTCACACACAACCACATGGATAGATTTTGATTTGCTGGAATTTTCTGTGCACATATGTATTCAAATTGTATGCTTGTATGTGTATGTACAAACATACATATTGAATTTCATTTGATTAAGTTCTAATTATCTCGATTTTTATATGATGAGAAATTGCCTAAGTTCTGCTACTGAATAATAATGAGGATAGCAAAAATACCAAATTCACTGACAAAAATCGAGTTATAATGTTGCGAATTAGTTTTTTTGTTAATGATAATTTTTCTTTGCACGTTCCCTTTTGTTGCCAGTTTCGTTTTGTGCCTTTGTTACACATACATACATATACTTCCACCACCGAGACATGCGGCTGCGGCTAAACCTAACCTCAAAGCAATGTGTGCTCGCCGATGCCAGTGTATAGCAAATGCGAGCGCAAACACGTTTCGTTTTGAGGTTAGGTCGAACTGCGCTGGTATATGAAACCAAAGTTGAATTTTATGAACGCGTTGGCAAAATATGATAATGATTAGAATTTGTCTACACTCGATTTACTAATACGTACCGACCCATGTTAATTGTTTTTAACTAACAAATTTTATTTACCCTTCCATTTCTTCCCCCGATTGCTGATTGTACCTGTGGACCCGTACACACACACACTTCCAAACATAAACCTACTGCACGCTGTGAACCCACTATTCAATCAACCCACTAGCTCGTATAAAACAAGATGGGCAAGGAAAAGATTCACATCAACATTGTCGTGATTGGACACGTCGACTCCGGCAAGTCCACCACCACCGGTCACTTGATCTACAAGTGCGGTGGTATCGACAAGCGTACCATTGAGAAGTTCGAGAAGGAAGCCCAGGAGATGGGCAAGGGCTCGTTCAAGTACGCATGGGTTTTGGATAAATTGAAGGCCGAGCGTGAGCGTGGTATCACCATTGATATCGCTCTGTGGAAGTTCGAGACTGCCAAGTACTACGTGACCATCATCGATGCTCCTGGCCACAGAGATTTCATCAAGAACATGATCACTGGTACCTCCCAGGCCGATTGTGCTGTCTTGATTGTTGCTGCTGGTACTGGTGAGTTCGAGGCCGGTATTTCCAAGAACGGTCAGACTCGCGAGCACGCTCTGCTTGCTTTCACCCTGGGTGTCAAGCAGCTGATTGTTGGTGTCAACAAGATGGATTCATCTGAGCCACCATACAGCGAGGCTCGTTATGAGGAAATCAAGAAGGAAGTGTCTTCGTACATCAAGAAGATCGGCTACAACCCGGCGGCTGTTGCCTTTGTGCCCATCTCCGGATGGCACGGCGACAACATGTTGGAACCATCGACCAACATGCCCTGGTTCAAGGGATGGAAGGTGGAGCGCAAGGAGGGTAATGCTGAAGGCAAGACCCTCATCGATGCCCTCGATGCTATCCTGCCCCCCTCCCGCCCAACCGAGAAGCCCCTGCGTCTGCCCCTGCAGGATGTCTACAAAATTGGCGGTATCGGAACAGTACCCGTCGGTCGTGTGGAGACTGGTGTCTTGAAGCCCGGCTGCGTTGTTGTGTTCGCCCCAGCTAACATCACCACTGAGGTTAAGTCCGTGGAGATGCACCACGAAGCCCTCACCGAGGCCGTTCCCGGTGACAACGTTGGTTTCAACGTTAAGAACGTCTCCGTTAAGGAGCTGCGTCGTGGCTATGTTGCCGGTGACTCCAAGGCCAGCCCTCCCAGGGGTGCCGCCGATTTCACCGCTCAGGTCATCGTGTTGAACCACCCTGGCCAGATTGCCAACGGCTACACTCCAGTGTTGGATTGCCACACCGCTCATATTGCTTGCAAGTTCGCTGAGATCAAGGAGAAGGTCGACCGTCGTTCCGGCAAGACCACTGAGGAGAACCCCAAGTTCATCAAGTCTGGTGATGCTGCCATCGTCAACTTGGTGCCCTCCAAGCCTCTGTGCGTTGAGTCCTTCCAGGAGTTCCCTCCTCTAGGTCGTTTCGCTGTCCGTGACATGAGACAGACTGTCGCTGTCGGTGTCATCAAGGCTGTCAACTTCAAGGATGCTTCCGGTGGCAAGGTCACCAAGGCCGCCGAGAAGGCCACCAAGGGCAAGAAGTAGCTGGTTTCTATCAATAATAACAACATTATGATGAAGCAGCAGCCAGAACTCAACAGCAGCAACAACAATAGCAACAACAGCAGCAGTAACAACAACAACAATGATAAGCACAACAGTAGTCGAACACAAACACCTGTCCTGGGCAAGATGAATGATAAGATGATGTTCCAGCAAAAGCAAAAATTTAATTTTTTCCATCGTAAAGAATTTCGTCGGATACGAATGTTAAACGCCATCGCCGCCTAGACGATTGAGTGGGAAAATGGAGCACACACACCCAATTGCAGATTTGAAGAAACAAAATTAAATTTTTACCCTCAATCTTAAGTTTACCTACCACATAAATATATATATGATATTATAGTAAATTGATTTTATAATGATATCATATTTTTTCATAGTTCGTATATAATTTGTGTAGCAGCAGTAGCGCAGGCGTATAGCATTTATATATCGTGTATTCGTTAAAATTAAAATTTTGATTTTTTATATCCCTTATTTTTGTTTTGCACACTACTTTGTACACTATATAAAAAGCAACAAGGAAACAATACTAGAAGCGAAAAGATAAACTTATTTACAACAAATAAAAGCACGTTTTGTATTTATTTTTTCCCACGATGAAACATTTTTACGTTTTGCTTTTCAGCCATTCCTTTATCATTTTGTCACTTCATCCGCTGCCAAATGTGAAACATGAAAGTACAAAACCCAAGATGAAGTACAAGGAACTGCTTAACTATACAACAGAACTTTACCTCATTTAAACAGAATAAAGCGAAGGTTATATTTGCAACTTGGAACACAACTTGTCTTTAATTTGAGTATGTTAAATATATAATTTCAAATATATACAATTCTTGACGAATGAAACGATTAAAAGGAGGAAACCTGGTTGGGGTCAAAACCTTCAGTGCAATTATGTATATGGTAAAGCAGGACACGTAATGCTATTTGCTGAGCACCAGAGCTGGGTCCTTGAAGCAGGGCTTAGCATGTTGCCGCGATTGATATTGGTGGTACTGCGGCAGTTGGTCCTCCGGGTCCGGCACCGGGTCCTCGTAGCGTATGCCAAACGGAGTCACAATGGCACTTTTCATCAGATACTTGCCAAACCTTTGCACCTGCATTGCCGATATGCTATCCAGCACCCACAGTGGCGACAGGTAGATGCGATCATCCTCCGCGCGTCTCTTGTCACCCACAATAAATTTGGCCTTGTAGCGATTCTCGGTCAGCTTGGCACCACCCAAAAGCAGCAGCTCCTTGATATTGTTGAATGTGATGGGTCGACACAGCGAGGACACGTAGAAGACCTCCATAAAACGGAACAGCTCACAGCGATAGGATGAGCCAAAGGCTTGACGTTCTGCGCGGCAAATCTAGCGGGGATCGGGTAACAAATTATGACACTTTCAATAGTAGTTTGCCAATAGCTCACCTCAACGGCTCGTGAGAATGAGCTCAGTTCATATTTCTCTTCTTTTAGCCATTTGCCAGCATGAACCGAATCGATTATCCACTTGAAGTTAACAATCCAAACGCCTCGCATCAAACCACGCAATAGATTCAACGTTCTCCTCGGCTCCAGACTAACCAAATGGGTCGTTCGCTTGGTCACTGTGGGATCCAGACGCATGCCACGGAGCTTGCGTATGGCCTGGGATGGCATGACAAGCAATTGAGAATGCCGGGATGGGGGTGAGTGGGTACAATAGAATCAATGGATGGATGCATGAATATATTGGTTAATTAATGACTAAAGCCATTAATCGAGCACAAAGTGGAGTCAACTCTTGTTTTGTATAAATATTTTGATGTTTAATTTATTTGTGTGAAACGCGCTGATGCTTTACGACTACCGCAAGTTCAACTATGTTTTATCAATAATAATTACGAACAAAAATAAGTCGGGCGTTGCACTTGAAAAATCAGACTCGAGAAACTCAATAACTATAGAAATACAAATGAATCAATTAAGACAATATAGAACAACTTTTGCACATAGTATACATATACATAGGGTACATATAGAGAGAGAGAAAACTATCTATATCTATAATCTATAGCTAGATCTATAAACTAAGCGAGTAGAGTTTCTCAAGTCAAGGCCAGGATGTTGTGCTACCAACCTTATGGATGATTTGCACCTGCTCCTTGTGCATGTTCGTGTGCACTAGCGTATGTATGATTTTACGCTTTGCTCCAGACGTCACACAATCGCCATGCGACTCGGATGCACTCTCATTAGTGGCATCTGAATCGAATGGCGTCACAAATACATCCTTCGTACCAGCGTTTTTCGGCTTTTCGTATTTCTTTTGCACATTGGGGCCAACTGCTGCCGTTGGTTTCAGCGGTCCCATGGTGCGTCGTCTCTTCACCGTGTGCGTGGAGGCACTGCTGCTATTCTTGCTCGGACGAGATTTGGTGCTAGACGATGATGATGCTAACACAATTGATTCATTTGGCGTAAAGAGTCGACGCATCTTGGGCTCTGTGGACTGTTGATCCTTGGGTGTCGACGGCGTATTCAAGGCCACTGCCTGCAGTGGTGGTGCTGGTGCTGGTGGCGGTGGTGGTGTAGCAAGTGCACAGCTCTCTCCCAGCTCCGCTTGATTGGCCAGTGCCAGCGATCGTCGCTGCGATTTGCTATTAATTGAATTGATGCGCTCATTAATGTGATCCATGTCCACATTGAACAGCGTGCGACGACGATTCGAGGTTGAGCTCTTCTCGCTGCCTGGCAAACGAGTGGAGCTAAACACCGGCACAGGTGTGTGCCCGTCGAAGCTGTTCAGCGATGTTTGCGTGTTTACATTCATTGGCGAATTTACAAATATATCTTCCAAATACGGATTTCTGTTTTCATTATTGACATCGCTAATCTGCATTTGCTCTACGGTATATAAAGTACGACGTTCACGAGCTCGTCCAATTGTAAGCGCGTGGGATGAGCTTATTTCCATTGTTTCTTGCACATAGTTTGTTTTGTTGGGCGGTGGCGTTGGCTCCACAATGGACATTGCCGTGTCCAGGCATTGAGGCTCCTCTGCTATGGCTTGAAATGGAGACGGCTTCTTGACCTGTTTTGGCGTGCTCGGCTCTAAAGTAGCGTTTTGGGAGAAACTGCGGCGACGTACACTAAGAATTTCCTCTTGTGAATCTGTTTTAGTTGTTGACAGCTGCAGGCTACGACGACGTGTTATTCGTGGCTCGATTACTGGTGGAGCCACTGCTGCGGCTGCTGTCTCTGACTCCTTTTCCTCTGTGTTAGCTTTCTCTGTTATGTTCAATTGGCTGCGTCGTCGTGTCAGACGTGATCCTGTTGACGGTTTTTCAGCTACAATCTCAGGTGCTGAGCACACATAAGCCAAACTGCGCCGGCGAAGCTGTCGCAGCGGTCGTGGTTTGTCTTGGGTGGACTCCACAGTCACCGAGGTGCTACGCCTGCTATTCCTGCCCACACTCTGCTCTTGGACGAAAGTCGCTTCCTTATGAATCTCATCATGTTTGGGAATCTCCTCATTCTCCTTGTCCTTTGGAGCTGGCGTGTCTGCTTTGTTCTGCACCTTAAATGGCGTGAAGCAGCCGTTGTTTATTCTGAGAATGTTGCAAAGTGAATACAAAAATAACAAACGTTTAAAGTTTACACAGTCATAATATTATGATAAACGAATTAACAATCATCATAGATATATATAATTATAATTATAATTATAATTACCTATTGAGCAGCTTAGTAGCTGGCGATTCTGCACCCACATCTTGCTCCTTGTTTTTGCTGAGAGTGTTGAAGAATCGCGTGATATTAGTCTGGAAGAGAGAAATATATTAAATGACTTATTTATGAAGTAGATCGAGGAAAACTAACCTGCGCTGTGCTTGCAGTTAAGGACCTTGCTGACGACTTTGGTGTTACATCTTTACTGCCAGTGGGCGTTCCAGGGCGCTTTCGTCTCTTATTAAGCTCCGAGTCTGGTTGCATACAACGTACGCGCTATAAGAAAGAATAATATCATATTAGATAGAAGACCAGATTTAGCTGGACAACAAATGATAAAGCACTTGTTTTCCCCAATGATGCCATGGATAAGACTGCTGCTGTTGCTGCTGACTTCGCAACTGTCACTTTTCTTTAGCTAAAAACCTACTGTTTTATTTGTTTATAATGTACGTGATAACTGAATCGTTGCTAACTTTTGTTTATATTAGCGCAATTTTTATCTCTCTCACTCTTTCCCTCTCAATTGGATACTGTTAATGTTGCTGCGATTTTAACATTTCTACATAAGAATATATTAAATATAAGTAACATAATTTGTTTATTACTGCCAATAAGTATTGTTTAAATAATAAATATAAACATTTTTTCTATTAAAATGCGGCTAAATTTGTGTTTTTGAATTTTTAAATACAAACAGGTGTGTACGCACTGGCTGTTGTTGACTTTGCAGCCCTGGTTGCTCTCCCACGGCGACTGCGCCGTAGCAAGAGCGCCAGCCCCCACATGCTGTATAAAAATTGCCACAGCACAGCCGACAGCCTCAGTCTGCGGCTCACTCAGCGTTGGTCGCGCTCGCATCTAGTAAAACAAACTAGACGAACGAACGTTCTAAAACTATGTTTTAGCTAAAAAATAAAACTGGCAGTATTACGCGATAACACACGTTCTATAAAGCAGACACAATTTTAATTAAACGCATGCATCCGCGCTAGATAAGCAACAAGTGTTGCCCCATTTGCAACTAAAATCAAATTCATTCAGCAGGCAGCTGTAAGCGGCGTCGGCAGAAAAGAGAGAGAGAGAGAGAAAGCGAGTGAGAGAGCCAACAATAAGTTCTTACCATATTTTTGTGTTTTTACGTTTTGTTTGTTTTGCCACAATTGTCAATCGCTACAAAAATAACAATTGTTTAAAGAAAAAATACAAAATCTGAGCGGAAGAGAAAAAAGAACAAATAGGAACGTGGCAACGCCTCTGTTCGTGTGGGCTGTTGCGCGGAAAAATAATAAAAAAAAAAAAAAAAAAAAAAAAAAAATACCAACAGAGAGGCATCAGCAAGAAGAAAACTTGTTTTGTATCTGCGGTTTACCTAGGACCGTGCGATAACGATTACAAGTACATAAATAATAAGAACGCTGCAAGCAGTGCCAAGGCCGCATCTAATATATCATCAGTATTCAGCGCCATTCAGCACCATTCAGCGCCAGGCACTAGATAAAGGCAGAATCAAACTTAAAGATGATACCTGGCTATGGACCCGTCACGCAAGCCCTGCTGGGTACCTTGCTCACCTGGGGTCTGACAGCAGCAGGTGCAGCATTGGTCATCTTTGTGCGAGGCAATCAGCGACGTTCTCTAGACGCGGCATTGGGCTTTGCGGCAGGCGTCATGATTGCCGCCTCGTTCTGGTCACTGCTCAACCCAGCCATTGAAATGGCCGAGACCTCGAATCTGTACGGCTCCTACTCATTTATGCCCGTGGCTGGTGGCTTTCTGCTTGGCTCGATCTTTGTGTATGGCTGCGACAAGCTGATGTCATATCTGGGCTTGAACAGCACCAACATGATGATTCAGATGACGCAGAACAGCAAGGATAAGGCAGACATTGCCATCGATGAGATGAAAATGAATGGCTCAGCCACGGATAGGCATGCCTCCAAGAGTCTCGACAGCTTCTCGGACTGCCTGAGCGTGCAGCACAGCGGCGAGTCGCGCAGAAGGAAGAAGGGCGGCAGCATTGGCGAGGTGGAGCAATGTACATACACAGCGGAGGCGACGCTGGAACAGCAGCGGGCACAAGAGGCGTTGTCACAGTGGAAAAGGATCATGTTGCTTGTGGTGGCCATTACCGTGCACAACATACCCGAAGGCCTCGCAGTGGGCGTGAGCTTCGGCGCCGTGGGCACTACGAATAGCTCAACATTCGAGAGTGCTCGCAATCTAGCCATTGGCATTGGCATACAGAATTTCCCCGAAGGATTGGCGGTCAGCTTGCCTCTGCATGCCGCCGGCTTCAGTGTGATGCGTGCCCTGTGGTATGGTCAATTGTCTGGCATGGTGGAGCCCATCTTTGGAGTCTTGGGAGCGGTGGCTGTCACCTTCGCTAACCTAATATTGCCCTATGCCTTGTCATTTGCTGCTGGCGCCATGATCTACATCGTGGCCGATGATATTCTGCCGGAGGCGCATGCCAGTGGCAACGGCACAATTGCGACATGGGGCACAGTGTCTGGATTCCTGATTATGATGTGCTTGGAGGTGGCGCTATCGTGATAAAGCGATGTCCACAACGACAACAAGGACACATGTTCCWATGCATCATATATATGTATGTATGCATATATGTATAGAAAGCATTCCAGGAAAAGGACTTCACAAAAATCATTCATAGTGTTAATTTCTTTTAAATATCGTACTTAAACGAAAGCGCATTTTTTTTATTGTATTGTAAATAGTGAAACAGGCCTTAAGACATATAGTAATGTACATGTAGTATATATATTAGCAGATATCTCTGTAACTTTTATATATATACATATTCTTAAAAATCTCAGAGAATGTTTTTGCCTGCTGCGCGTTCAACGCAATCAGAACGAAAGAAAGATAGAAAGAAAAAACCCAACCGTAACTAAGTATTTTTTATATATTTAACTTGGCTGCATTGTTTTTGCCCTGTTATGTAAATGCAAAAAAAAAAAGTAACTACTATATACATATTTATAATTTTGTTTTTAATATCTGTCTGTAAACAGACGTGCGCATGTGAAATAGGTTTTAAGTTGTCAAGTGCCCTGTCTTTTTGTTCATCTTCGTTTTACTGAACTGTCGTAATATTTAAGTAATAAACCATAATGTCTGTACGTTCAGTGCAAGACAGAATTTATTAAGAAAATTTGCATTTGTTTTTCTTTAGTTTTGAACCAGGCTAACGTGCTCGCTCTCTCTCCTTCTCTCTCTCTCTGTTGTCTTGCCAACTTCCTGGCCTCTGATAAGACATATTGTACACTACGTGTTACACGCAAATTGAATTAGATAACCTAAACACAGCACCAAAGTGTACAAGACCCAGAGCTCTAGGCTAAGTGCCTGACATTTGTTGTCTGTGATAAGAATCTGTCGAGCGAAAGTGCAGACGGCACTCAAATAGCAACATTTTGTTTCTATTATGTTTTTGTGCTGCCATCTTTAGCTATACTCAGTAAAATGCAATGGAGGGGTATGCTGCAGCAGTGCTTAAAGAAGTTTGTAGGAAAAATCTAAGCTAGAGGGTAGCTCTTAGTCGATCAATTGAATCATTCTGAAATGAATCATTAAAACAATCGGTGGCTTCTGTTGTTCAAGATTACGTTTAAATTTGTTTTGATTTGAGCTGCCCAGTAAAAAGCTTTTGTATATAGGGTATGCTGATGTAAAAGTTTGACTAGTAAGGAAAACATGATAGTACCAGAGTATATCAAGGGAATTTTCTAGTCGATTACCATTGGATATGATTTGCAGTTTTGATTATCCGAGATGTACTCCTAAGAATGATTGGAGAAGAATCTGAACAAAAATAATAAATGCCTACTAAGCTGTATACAGAATATTTTCCGGCCTAGTTCTTTAAGCTGTGTTAGCAAAGTCTAATCAATAATTTGTAGTTTCAGGAACTAGAAAAATATGGGAAGTAATCCAAACAGACTTTTTATATAATGATCAATAGCATGCTACGTCAATCAATATTTAAATTCAGGGAATTTGTAGTTTATCACATTGTATGCAGGGTATCTGTCAGTCGAGTACTATAAGCTTAAATAATATAACAAAGCCAACTCTAATATCTTTTTTTTTATTTTACAAAGCAGAATCAGATATATATATGTATAAATAAAATTTACCCATCCCAGTAAACTAGAGCATTATCAGACTAGACATATCAATTGCTTATCTGAGTCTTCGTGGCTTGTACGTGATAATATACACCCCCATTCGGTCGGCCTTATCGTAAATATGTTTAGGCAAAGCCTAAACAAGTAATCAATTTGTTTATTTTTATAGTATTTTTATGGGGCCAATAAACCAATTAAATAACGACCATTAAGAACTGAAGTTGATGGCTTCCGAAGCGATCGGGAATATTTACAATATCTGACCAATGGATAGCAATGATTGCTGCTTGAGATTAATGAGTATGCAAATAAATCAATTTGCAATAGAAATTGAAACTAGTTAAGCAGCTCCTATTAAGCTATTTAGTTGCAAATACATATAACGTCATACACGTGCTGGATGTAACAAGAGAGATAATTATATACTAAATTAGGATTATGCAATGTAGATGCAGAAATAGAAATAAATACAATGTTAGCTCATCTTAAAGACCACGTGCGAGATAGATATAACATAAATGAGATATTTCTATAGTATACGATAACTAGCTATACAACACTATTTAACAAAGTTGAACTCTTTCATAAGATGATTCTGAAACCATTCTAATTAAAGCATTTCTCAATTGTAGGAAAATTGTAAATAAAATTATAATAGACTTTTATTTATGTAAAATTGCTGCTTTAATTAAACTTTACAAATTTGAAATTAAGGAGATATTTGTCATAAACTTTGAAATTTTCATTGAGTTTTCAGAATTCAAAATATATGAAAAATCATCTTGTCTATTAGCATAAAATGGATTCAGAATCATCTCATTTCAATTCATTTTCTTCATCTATGGAAAAAATGATTTAAGTCACATCTTGTTTCACTCTTGTGTTGTATAACTATATTTAGGTACGATTGAGGTACTCACCGACACTTTGCCATAGAGCTCTGGGAATTCATACATATGTATATTGCTAATGGGAAACTGCGTGGGATCACATAGACGACGCTGCACTTTACAGGCCTCGATCCATAATATGGAAACAATTGGTATATTCCAGCTCTGTGCGCGTTTATAGGTGGACAAGAGGCCATCCTTGAAGACCACGTGGGTGGTATTGCTATTAAATGCAATTTTTGAATTATATTTTAATTAAATCTCAAGTTACGTTAAGCTTACCGCAACAGACGATCGTTGGCCTGGGCGCCCAGTTTTGTAATGATATTCTTAACGCCCTCGGAGCGATTATCATTGCCCGTGCGCACTTCAACGTACACAATGACATCCTTCAATATCTCCGAGAGCGATGGCGGCGGCTGCGGATTACGCTCCTCTGCAGTTATAATGCTAATCTCACCATGTGGCACATCGAAATTATTGTAGGCGGTTTTAGTAGGACTTCTATAAGCCAGTGATATAAATAATTAATTATATACACATATGCAAGAGTGAGAACTTACTTAAGTGCACTTATGGCGCGCATGCGTAGGGCGGCGCTGGGACTATTGAAATCACGTTGTAGCTGCTTTAGATGTGGATCCCGTTTGGTTGCTAGGTCGGGTTCCATTGATTTCGGACTTGCAACTGGATTTTCTCCTGCAGCCCTGGACTTGGGCGTCATAATCATGTGGGCAATCGCTGGCGTCGTCGCAATTGAGGTAGCTGAAGGTCTGTCGATGACGGTAACAGTTTGATCTGTATTACAAATATTTAAATTTACATTTTTGACTGCGTGTAGGGCTTAGAATTATTACATTATATTATATATATTATGCATTTACGCACATTCACCCATCATTCGAGTTTTCCACATAATATAAAGATCCAAAACGTGTTTTTAATTTTCGTCAATACTTTAAATTTAGAGCTCGCCAAATTAAATACAAATTTTTGGTGTCTTAAAATGATTTAATTTACAAAGCTAACCTGTTGTTTCTGTTGTCTGGACTACCTTTGAATGCCAACGGAACTCGTTCTGTTTCATTTGTGTCACCGTACTTGATACGAATCGTCGCACATATATTTTTCGATGAACTTATTGCGTAATAGTAGCAGTAAAAGTTGTCTTTTCAATTATTTGTTTAAAAATTATTAAATTTTGCAAAATTTACGCGGCCGCTTGGCTTCGGACAGTCGAGTTAAAAGCAGGGCTGCTTAATTATTATCGAGTTGCAAGCTATCGATTAATTATGTCAACTAACATGGCAATGTTAGACTAGCAGCTGTTAATGTTGCTGTTAGGAAGCGCGCAAAAGAATTTTTAAATTTAAAGCTATTTTTTTATACTCACTTTAGGTTTTGCCAATGTACAATATTATATTATTAAAATAAAAAATCACACATTTGAAAATATTCTTTTAATGCATAAACGTTTAAAAAAGTTTCACATACGTATGTTATATTCGAACTTATTTACATATGAAAATTTATTTACAGGAAATAAAACAATAAAAATTAATCGCCTAAAGTAGCAAAAAATTTGCCTATGACAACAAATCCTTCCTATACTTTGTTATCAAAATGTGCGCTTATATGTTCGTATATAATCCATATTTGTATATTGTAGATTCGTGTATATATGTATTTATTTGTGCACACAACTCGACTTTAGGACGTTCTCAGTCTTAAACGATTTAAAAACTATGGCAAAATTTTAATTAATTATTACAAATTGCATAATCATTAAATCTCTCATCTCCGGTGTCTAATCTATAACGCCGATTTAATTAGTTGAAGTGTTAATGGGTATTATTTTAGGCATATGCCCAAAAGTATGCTCTAATAATTATAATAGATGGCTGCATTTCGCATAATTTATGATCACAAAACTGAGCGAAATGCATTCCACTGACCAAAAATTAAAAGAATATGCTTTGACTAAATAAATTGAAATATAATGCTAGGCGATGAATAAATTAGGGCCAGTTTCATACAGCGCTCATTCTGCAAGAGATAGAGAGAATATTAGAGATGCGTTACTTTTCTACACAGGACATATCGAAGCACCTACCATGTGCGCTGATTAGACTACGTGCATCCCAGAGAGAGAGCTGCGACTGCGACAGTCGATGCTGCGGTGGATAGAGTTTGTAGGGGAAATACGAATGATGGAACGTTGCGATGGGTATGGGCGTCGTCGATTGCAGTGACTGTTGTTGTTGTTGCTGCGCAGCTAGCAGGAACTGATGATGCTGTGCCGATATCTTGCGTGTGATTTTTGGCTCCTTTTTGGGCTTGCTGGCGCACTGCTGTTTGTTCGACTTAATAAAATTGGGAATGCGTGCCAGCAGGCCGCAATAATATGGATCATCCTGCTTTTTGCGCTGTGGCGAATTCTTTTGCTGCTTCTTTTCCGTATAAACGGGGGTCAGGGAAGTCATTGAAGCCATAGATGCCACCTCGTAGTCCGGCTGAAATAGAGAATAAGATT